TATTTATTTTTGTGCAGGTATGGGTTAGGAACTCCAATATTCTTTGGATTGATTGGAAGTTTCTTTATAATTCTTGGATCTGTATTATATGCTGTGACAATCATCCCGACCAGGTAAATAATCTTCATTGTTACAGTAAAACTTGCAAAAAATGTATAGCAACGAGGAAGATAAATCAATCTACAATTCTCTTGTAGAAAGTTGACTGCATTGGCAAGAACAACAGACACCCCTCCATCATACGCCCAGCGGACGGCGAGTAAAGCACTGTACACTTCTGCATACTACGCACCCTCAAGACAATCTATACTTCTCAGCCAATCGAGCGGCTCTCGCATCTCCAGGATGTCTCAGGCCACTGGGGAGAAAATATCTCCCAGAGACACATTTGTGTGAACTTTAGAAAAACTTTAGAAACTTTACACACTTTAGAAAGGCTCTGTAACATTGCGACCATTAAAGAAAATGCTACAATAAAATCTGTACTGCAACATGTCAATTCATTTGTTAAATGTAGTAGTGTAATAAAAAAGTAAATTCATGGCTCCATTGGTTTCAGTAATTTCAGTCATTGATCCAACTCACCATTTAGTCATTTCTGCTAGACAACACTCTAAATACAATATAACTAGATTTAAATCCAGAGGAGCACCAAACCTCACACTAAAAGCACTAAGGCATAATAGACATAACAGTGAGTCTTCTCTAAAGCTGCTTTGAAGCCATGTGTGTTGTGAAAAGCACTGTACAAACAAATAAAGTTTTTTTTTATTTTTCTGTTACCAGTTTTGTGTACGAGGTGACATTTGTAAGTATAAAGCATGTAATACGGGTTGTTCTGAGCTTTATGTATATAATAAACAGTATGTCAGAGTGGCACTGATGACACCACAAACAGTGTCCTCCTCCCAAAGAGCCAGTGAAAGCACCAGATCTGTCCGGCACACCTCGAGGAAGGTCTGTCCTCTCATTGAGTTCTGCTTTCGAAGATCATCTTTAGCTGCATCAGGCTCATCCCAGCATGCATTACAGAACGGTCATGATGTACACTGAAATAGGGTGCTTCGTAGCGTGCGTTTGCGGGTGGATCTTAGTTTGTTCCACGATGCCGACAAATTATTGGACTTATTCTGAAGTGGACAGTTTAGTTCTGACATCTGGCCACTATTTCTCCAACCTCTGGAAAGACTGTCTGTCTGACTCCACTGGCGTTACTGACTGCAAAGAGTTCCCCACCCTGCTGGCTCTGCAGAGTGAGTATGACTAGAAAGTTACTAATTCCAGTCAATAATGTCTCAGAGTGGATTCATGGTTGGAAGGAAAGTTCTGGATAAACAAACCTTAAAGCTTTGCTACAAAGTAAAAAAGCTCCTGGACTTTTGCACTATTAGTGCCTGCGGGGAGGACATGAAACATATGTTGACATTTTGTACCAATTAATCGCAAGTAATTATGGAACAAAAACATCAAACCATTGTTTTGCTCCTTTTAGATCTATCTAACACATGAATAAATGGGTAATATTCATTATTACATTTTGGAAACGTAAGAAAACCAACAATTGATCAAGTCTCAGACATGTTAATGTGCGATTAGAGAGTTTCTTTAGTTATTTAACAGCTCTTAATGAGACAAATCTCATTCAGTAATTACTGATTAGCCACTGAGGAACTATCTCAGTCCTATATTTGCTATTACTTACTGTAAAAGTAGCTTTAGTGTTACTGTAGTACTGTAATCATTGCATTACTTCGTGTGCATACTTACCTGTAAATGATAGACCATTATTACGAAGTGTTACCGATAACTGCATGACTTCATGTGCTTTGAAAACATTTTGTATTGTAAAATGCGCTTTACAAATAAACGTGTCTTTCGTTCTGTCCATCATTCACCAGCATACATTCATCTGTGCCGATCTCTCGTCATCATCTCCATAATTCTGGGATTCTTCGGGTCCATTCTTGCTTTGGTGGGGATGAAGTGCACAAAACTCGGAGGCTCTGAAATTGTGAATGCGAGAGTTACCTTTGCTGCAGGGATGAATTACCTTTTCTCGGGTAAACACTTGCACTTGTCCAGTATGTTCCAGTATGTGCGTGGAAGCTTGACTTGTGTCTCTGTTTCAGGTCTCTGCGGTATGTTTGCTTACAGCTGCTATGCCCACAAGGTTATTTCTGAGTTCATGGATCCAAATTACAAAGCAAAAAAGTGAGTATCTCAATACCCAAGAGAAATCAGATGAAACACGTACTTGACATCTGCTGCTCGGTTTGAAATTCGACCTGTCTGGTGAGCAGGTTTGAACTGGGATCAGCTCTGTTTGTGGGATGGGGCGGCTCGGCTCTCCTCGCGGCGGGAGGATTTGTGTACAGCATCACTGCAGGGAAGGAGGGCTGCCGATCCAGGTATCAGTGCACGTCATCGGTGGACTAAACCACAAAGAAATCTCATTTCAACCACAAAATCTTTAGCATTAAAAGATAAGAATGAACAACTATTTTACAACCATGTTCCTTGAGATTCACCCTGTTGACAGAGGCGTTGCATTCATGCGAAGGACGCCCAACTGGTTTGTAATAAAAAAAGTGTGCTTAATCGGATCAAACTTGGCATTTTGTGTTCCACTGGGAATGCTTGTTACATAATTAGTACTTAATGTGTTGTGCAAAGGCAATTATAAAAGTGGAGAGTTCCGGTGCTTGATTCTGATTGGCTGAGCCGCGTTCGAAGCTGTTGTAAATGACTCTACAAAGTAACACACACCTTTGTTTACTTCTGTGTGTTGCTCGGCAACCACTTTGTAGCAACCACAACTGTTTCTGAGGAGCTACATTGCTTGGTGGAAGAATACTGTTTTTATTAACGTCATTACACTTTATTTGCTCTGTTTTATTCTGTGAAACCTTACTACGTATATGGATTAACCGTTTTATAAAAGCAATAAGCCCCGTGAAGCTGTGGTTTACAGTGGGTTTTAGGCACTCCGCTTCGCAACAACGCCCCTTAGCTGTTATAAATTCACTGTAAACCACGGCTTCACGGGGCTTATTGCTTTAATTGAGCACAAATGCACATTTTCACACTGAATTGAGGAACAGGAATTGTTTGCTTTCTGCTTGCCCTTGTGTTGGTGAATTTTCGACAGATGTCCTGCCACTGATTAGATGTTTCTGATTTCAGCTCCAAGACCCAAGAGACGTCCTATCACACTCCTTCCTCCAGTCTCTCTGAAGCGAACCAGAAGACATACAGTCCTCCGCTGTCGCCCATCCCTGACAGAGCAAACCAGAAGACCAGCAAACCTCCCAAAGGATCTCACGCCGTGGACGCTTACGTCTGATGGGTTCCCTTCATGCAATCGGAGTGTTTTACCAAAAGTGTTTTTAAGTCTTTTGTAGCACCATGACCACAGTGATTGAAACTAGTGTTTCAGTCCAAAACGAAAAGAATGGTTTGATAGAACTGAATTTAATCTGCTGGTCTGTCAAGCCTGATGACTGTATCAGTGGTGATGCTCAGGGCTCATACACGTCCATTTCAAAATTCCAGACTTTTACAGACTCATATTTTCAGACTTCTCTGGATTTTTCAGACCATATTTCATAGTAAAAAATAAATGATTTAGTGTGTAGCTAAAGATTTCTTGTTCAAATTTACAATATTAAATTCATAATTTGATACTCACAATACTACAGTGTTGTCACAGTACCAAAATGTCAGTAGTCTACCAATACCAGTAAAATGTCATTGTTCTCTGTACCATAGTAAAAACTATGAAATATTTTACTTAGAAATATTGAACAATTTGAAAAAAAAAACAAAAACAAAACAACTAACTAGTTTATTATTAATGCTAATAACAATAAAAACACTTTAAAATGTAGCCTTCAAATATTTTCCAATTAAGTAAATACTGCTTTAAAAAGGTCAAGTGAAAAGTTATAAAAGTAATAAAATAAAGAATAAAAAGTCATTATATAGAACAAGTGGCAAGTCTATTTATTCTGCATTTACACTCCAAGATAAATTTTGACATATCAGATGTTTTTTGTCCCATCCGTTGCTATGGTTATTACTGTGACAATCATCACAATTTTGGATTCAGTACTGCATTTAAACATCTCGATCTCTTGGGAAAACTCCTGTTATAATCAATAAAGATGTCCACACTGCACAATGACTCTCTTATTTACTCGTGTTTTCATTTCGTTGATTATACTGATACGATTCGCAACCGTACTTAACTAAATCGCTGAATAAAAACCGCCTAAACACCTCTGACTGGCCATTGTGTTCACATGCTCAACAAACATGTCTGTGATTGGCTACAATGCTCAGCTCTGAAAACACACTGTAAACAGAAACGTTTGATGCTCCTCACTCACAGAGCGCTCACACTAATACACACAGCTGAAGAATGACTGCTATTATTAGTTATTTAACATTTCTGCACTGCCTTGGTAATGATATACTGGTACCTTGACAACACTACAAACAAACAAGCCTGAATGAAGTTCAGTTTGAATGTTTGTTTTAATAAGACGTACAAATTTGGGACCCACATTAAGTGTCCTTAACTAAAGTGCACTTACATTTAAATTAATCATTTGTTACAGTGCACTTATTGTGTATTCATGTTTTCACATGTACTCGTATTTAAATAGCTACATCTATAGCTGACCCTACCTCTACACCTCAAACCTGCCCTAACTTAACCCACATCCCACCTCAACAGCAGCAAAAGGTGTATTTCATATAGGTGTATTTCACCTAATGATTAACTATTATTGATTAATGAACAAGCACAGGACAATGGTGACACCTGATTATAAACATAATCCTGTATTTTCAGCGGAACAGAAATCTGTTTGATATGCTTTCACACTTTGCTTGTATGATATATTTTAATTTTTTTTTTATTCTCAATTTTATATTTTAGAAAACAGAATAATGGCCATAGTCTGGATACACAATTATTAGACAATTTCCATATTTTGCATGTGCAAGGCTTGGGTGAGAAATTCAAAGAAGCAGCAGAACAATCACGACGTCTTGATTGATTGTCATTCCACAGACGCAGAACATTTAAGAGGAACTCTTCCAGAACACAACAGTCACATAACGCTTCTCTTAATCAAAACATTGGTTTCTTAGACTCTTCTTGAGACTGCGGTCATCGTGTGGAGGATCAGGGACGGTCAGGACTGGACAGGTGATAGGTGGACCATCTGACGTGGACGGGCTGGAAGGCCCAGCGGTCCGGATGGCCCATGTGCAGGAGTGTGCTGTAGGGCGAGCTGCTCCACTGGAAGACAGGCACCTGATCCCACGTGGGGCCGCTGACCGCCACCAGCTCCAGCCGGCTGAACATGCCAGCGCTGGTCACCTACAGGACAACAGGAGCGTCAGACACAGCCGAGCTCAGACAGCAGCTGCACTCACACCGCTGCTCACCTTCATGTCCGTGCCGCCGTGAGGACGCTGCCTCAGAGCCCCGAACGGATACGAGCCGTTCCCAGGATTCAGGTCCGAGCGGGCCGAGATGGAGTTCTCCCCGTTCTGAGCGGGGTCACAGCCGTCACAGCGCGACAGAGGGTCCTCCTCGTAGTTATTATACCTGCAGAGGACACACACAGGCAGAGACTAAATCAAGACCAGCAAAAAACAAACAAACTGCAGCAAAGTGAGATGCTCTCTTCACATGAATTAAGAGTATGGGTAATACCTCATCAGACGCATCATGGACTCGACGTCAGTAACGAGAGACTGGTTTCTGCGGAAAATCTGCGCTCTCGGATTGTCGCTGAAGGAGAACCAGGATCCGTATTTCTGAACCAGCTCCTGCCCTCCGCTCGCATTGAACACCTCCTCAAAGTACCTACGACAGCAGAACACAAACAAACGCTCGCGCTAAATCAGGGCTTCTCCTCGAACGATCGTCTGCAGTCAGTGCCAGCTGTTTAGCTTGCTCTGTTCCTACAGTCTACATTGATGCATTTGGCAGACGACTTATGACAAAGCGATAAAGTGTTCTCACACAGACCAATCATTTCACTTCATAAGACCTCAATATTTTGTCAGGAGCCACGGGTATTCATTTTGTGTTCCTTGATATGCTTATTTTTAATAAAAAAAAAAAAAAAGGGCAGCCACTTGCATTTTATTAATCTTACATTTTTAATGAAACACCAAGGAGCACAGTTTCAGCTAAAAATCTTCTTTACTGTTCTACTGAAGAAAAACAGTCGCCTGCATCTTGGATGGCCTGAGGATGAGAAAATTAACAGCAAATGTTCATTTTTGGCTGAACTATTAGAGCCCTGCATTTTCAGTCCAGGCCCGACGGGCCCCGTCTTTTTTACACCCCTAGGGGCCAGGCTTTGGGCCAATTTTCACGTCATAGTTCAGACGCGGGCCGGGCCTCGGGCCTGTTTTAGGTTTCTCATTTTTATGTTTTACACATCCATCAGTTAATGATGAAAAACATTGTTTGCCGTGCTGGTGCAAACAACACGAGACCATGCTACCGCGACTAATGAGCGGCTCGGTGTTCAGTGTCCCGCAGCAGCAAGAGTGCAGAGCGCAGCTGAACAGTTCTGTGTTCAAACGCACACAATCGGCTTAAGCTTGCCGCAAAGCACCAGCAAAAGTAATTACCATGAATGTGTCAGAGAAAATAGTAAGGAGATATTTGAATTATTTACTAATAAACTAGTGTTTTCTGACTCGCCATCTCCTCATTAGACACGCCTTTAGAGAGAAATAATAATAATGAATTAATTTTAATTAATTAATAATAATTTAATTTAAATAATAATAATTTATGCATTTAGCAAATGCTTTTATCCAAAGCAACTTACAGTGCATTCAGGCTATACATTTTTTACCAGTATGTATATTCCCTGGGAATGTATTTCCTACTGAAAGAATGTCATTTGAAATCTGTCATCTTTGCTTGTGAGAACCACAGTTTTTAAGACAATCACATGAGTCATAACCAAATGTCATATGACTAATCACTCTTGAGTCTATTTCATTTGCATATTGGCCCACAATAGCTTATAGATGACCTCAAAGTACATTAACTAAGACAGGGTTTTCCAAGTTTTGATGCTACAGGCCAATAAATATGATGATCCCTTTTAAATATGACTCCTTTTTTTAAATATAAATGCAGCTATTTATAAAGACCCATTTCTTACAATGAAAAAATTTAATACATATGTAATAAAATATTATAAATGTGGAAAATATTTACTTTCTGTTAACCTGACACTTTTTTTTCTGCCCACCATTATAGTGCTGTTAGATGTATAAGCCTGAAGACAAACATAACTCTTTGGCTGTCATAAAATAAAATAAACTGTGAAATTTGATTTTAACATTAATTATTATTATTATTATTATTTTACTTTTCTGTGGAGCCAAAGTACCCCCGGGACTCCTGCTGGACATGTGATACTTTAAGGAGAATGATATATATATATATATATATATATATATATATATATATATATACACAGAGTTTTTTATTCTATTTTTAATTTTTTTTAATTGAATGAATGTTTATTAGGATTTTTGTAAACACTTCTTAATCTTGGGATCATTTTTTAACTTAGCTTGTTACAATGCATTTTGAGGTTGCCTCCTCAGCAAAGGATTCATGCTGTGCTGCCTTAGAATTTGGCCTAGAGAAGATATGTTATTAGGCCGCATAATTAATATACCAACATCTTAAAACAGCCTTCTCAATGGGAGAGCGCCTAAAATGTCTTAAGATGCGGCCTAGCTCACTAGGTTTTGGAACAGAGCTACGGGGTCTTTAAGCAGCGAAATTCACATGCTGTGCTCTG